TATTGTAATTATATTTTAATTATATTATTTTTATATGATAAATATATTTAGCAAAATATATAGGTTTCTGTAAAGTAGTGATGTTACTCTGCTTGTCTGAAATCTGTTCGACTCCTGTTTGAGACCCAAACTGGTTAAACTTGAGTTTAGGTAATTATGTGATTCTTATTGTTATATAAACTCCGTAAAATCAAATCAAGTTTGAAATCAATTAGATTTAATTTTAGATTTTTAATTACTACTATCATTGAAAAAACATAGCTTCTCTCGATTGGTTAATTATTATGGCATTACATCAATATAATGAAAATTAGATTTTTTTCCTTTTTTTTTTAATATAAATATGCATTTTCTTTTTTTTCTTTTTTTTAAGGATATAAATAAGCATTTTATTTTTTTTTTTTTATATAAATAAGCATTTTATTTTTTACATATTTTTATTCCGTAAAATGGATAAAGAAAGTGCACTTGATTCATTCCATAACCTAATTAAACTTACCCTTTCGACTTCTCAAAATACACTTGAATCGAAGCATTTTCAGAAATACCCAACCCCTTCAAAACAAATAAAATCAGATCCTTTTTGGGATAAACTTAATAAAATCACCACTTTGTGAACTTGCAAATATTGCGATAAATCTTATTCATTGAATACGGTCTTTCCACTATTAAATCGGTTTTCTAAAGCCACAACTATGATTAATCCAATTTGTAATCAATTATCTGAAAAAAATGCTTCTGTAAGTCTTTGCTTTATATGAATCAGGTATTATTGAATGTGTAGAAGGTTAATAAATTAGGTATTATTGTGTAGATCGAAAATAAATAATAGTAATAGGTGTAACAAATGTTGTAAATGCATAATAAATATATTTTACAAATGTAAAATTCATATATTTACTCTTTTAAATAGCGATAACAAAGCAGGTTTTATTAGCAAGCACAATTATTAGTATATTTGTATAAACTATGTTCGATAACCAATTTCACGTATATGGTTTGAAACAGTGTTCCGACGAGTTTTAAACATAAATTAATCAGTTGGAACAGGATAACATCCCTAGAAAAAACATAATACAGTAACAAATAAAAAAAAGTCGAAATTACATCGAAAAGTGGCATATATTTAGAGAATGGAAGCACGGGTGTAAGTTTGCAATGAATTCAAACAAAACATGCAAAAAAGTAGCGGATGGGATATATAATGTGATAATTTTAAAAGAGAACGTTTAATAAAAATAAATCAGTTAATGGTTTTATAATGATAGTTTAAACGTATACATCATTTTTCACGTAACGAAGATATTCATTTAACATGTGTTAGAATAATTCCGCTATAAAATTTATCTGTATCACGAGGCTTATCGTAAGCCTATCGTTATGCATAACTATCCGTTTTTTAGTGTCATATCAGTCGAAACAGCTCTAGTTTTTATCCATAAACCTGTAGGACTGTAAAACATACTTGAGTAAAATAATCCAATACCTGTGTTACTTTATGACATTATTTATTTCCGTTGTAGGTTATATGATTTGGAGGCAAGAACGCGAAAAATTTCTATTAATTACAGATATTCCTATTACTTTTCGAAGTACTCCTGCACCCGCTGTCTCTTCATTGCTGGCTCTTTCTCAACATCCACCATATCCTTTAATAATCCAACAATGACCTCCATTACTCGCTTCACATTTTTTTGTAATTCTATATCAGCTTCCGAATCTTTTTTCAGAGCCGACTCGCTAAACTTGATATTGAGAGGGTCTCTACTCGTGCATGAAATCCCGTCTGTTGTATAGAGAATAAAATACCACTATGTGGCTGATTATTAAGAGAATGATGGTTAATACAGTCCCACCTATCAAAAACAAAACAGAGAAAATGTATACCTGTCGTTACAATTCCATAAATATAATCAAAGTATTCCCCAAACGCATCATCTGCTTTACGTTTTTTCTTGTTTACTTGCAATGCACTTTCGCATTGGATCAAGTTCTGGGCAAAACCCATGACTACTTGGTGCAACTTCCCTTCCGTGATGCAAATCAGTTCTTCGAGAGCCTTGATAGCATAGTCTACACAACCGGTGTTTTCTTCACCAACAACTTCAAGCTGAGGAACTATACTAAGCTCTTTTTTTGTTATTCTCTTGACAATATAGAGTGATGCGTGAAGGATAGGTGAAATATATTCACACCTCATGGCTTCGTTGCTATCAATAAGTATAGTCCCCATGTTTCCCAACTTACGCTTAACTTCCTTTATGCATTGTTGCAATTCCTCATCGTCATCTTTAAGCGGGTATGTTCCTTAGAAAACGGAACAAGAGTTAGCTTGTTTTGTGAACACATAATACCGAGGCTAATCTGTGTTAAAAACTTACTTGGTAGAAATTGACGGATGGTACCTATACCATTACCATCTATTCCATGCTTCATTAAGATCTCTTTTAAGTCTTTTTGAGTCTTATACGAAGAGAACAAGCACCTTTTTTTCTCTTTACATTCTTTAGCGAACTTTGCCAGGCGTGATGCTGGACCTAACTTTAATCCGCAATCTCAGAATTTTTGTTCGGTATAATCAAGAAAATTATCCCCAGTTAATTCTTGGTCACGAATAATATCGAAATGATGCACTTTAAGCTTTAAGTCCTGGGATTCTAAAAATTTGATAAGTTGGTCCGTATCCAATTTGCTAATTTCATCTGTGTATGTGAACGACTCATTTTCGTTTGTAGCACTGGAAGGAGAGGTTGAAACTGGAGTATTGGATTCAGACATTGTGGGTGAAAAGTGCGTTATGCTACAGAGGCGTTTACTAATTTCCCCACAAATTTCTGATTCTGGCCAATTAGAATGCAAGATCAGGTGTAACGTTAAGATCAAAACAACAATCGCTTTTTTTCGAAAAGTCCCATTTATTTCAAATTTTGCCTAAGAAATCACCTTTTGGCACTAACAAAAAAAATTCCTTGCAAATTTTAGTGTAATGTTGCTCACTAACGCTAACCCAAACTCTTAGACGTCACATTTTAATTAGAAAGGTGACATGTAAACTGCAGTCTGACGATTTACCAAATTAGGACAATGTAGATCACTCCTTTTTTGGGGGTCCGCTAACGGAAAGTCTACGGCAGGGACCCTGAAAAATTTTGAAAAGATTATATCACAATAAATCGCAATTTTTAGTGGATATCGCTCTATAACAC